TGATTCATTAAATATTGTTTTATTTGTCTCTACATGTACATTAAAAAAAAAAAAAAAAAAAAAACATATTGCTCTGGTGCTACTTGGGGCAAAAATTATTTCGAAATCCAATAACTTTTAAAAAAAAGTTGTCGAGCTGGCAAATCTTACAGGGGAATAAAACTGATGAAAACAAGGGTAATGAATCAGAGTTTTATAACAGCGATGAGCTTCAAAATGAATTTCGCTATTTGTAGATTTTGAATTTTCTAAATAAGTGTTATGCTACTGGGCTGTGCTAATATCAGAGATACACCGCCCGTCAGCATAGGCAATGAACCGATGAAAATGACTTAAAAAGGCGCTTATTAACAGAAGATTTAAAAACCTGAAGTCCTACTTAAAAAGCATTATTTATTTATCAAAGATGAAAAGAATGTAGCAATGTAGCAATGTAGCATTTGTCTACAGAAAAAAAGATGCATGGTGACCTCTTCCTGTAAACTTTGGTGTACTCGACTCGATTGTATGTTTACGATCGTAAAATAGTTGTTTAACACTTAATTCAAACAAATGACTTTTACTGCATCTGCACACAACTGAAAAACAGGAGATCATGTGAAAATAACACCGAAATATCTTTATATGAAGCTAAAATTAAATCTATCTCAACGGACGAGTATAAGTGTTTAAGAAAATCATTTTAGATTACCATTTTACCATTTTTAAACTTGTTTTTATAAATTCGTTAGAAATGTTTTGAGATTCGAAATTCAATAACTTAATTCTAATTGCACAATCAAAAAAGAATATAACTGTGAGAGAAAGGAGAGTTAAAAAGATAAAGGTCGATGATCGATAATGTATCCTTCGACAAATTAAGACTCAATATCCAATGATTTAACAGATGGCAAAGTTATGTTTGGGTCTAATATTTATATGACCTCTAATTTCTTTTTTTGTTACAAATATTTTTTGCCTGTTAAAATTAAAAAATGACTATGTATGTAGCTAACTGTAAAATCTTGTTCACGTCACTGAAGGTTCTTATTTGTTTCTGTGCTGATTGAAATCAATTTAGGAGAAAAGATTACTTCGGATGGCGTCTTGAATGAAAATGAATTAACCCATGAAACATTACTCATGGGAAATTAACAAAATGGTTTTTCAAAAAAACGTAGTAGCTCAAAATTGAAATTGATTTCCGTCTTCATTTAAATGCATTTGTCGACATATATGTATTTTTTTCAGAATTCATTTACAATTTTTACTCAAGTGAAATAAAATTTAAAAAAATCATGAAATGCGACTGAAAGATGCCTTAACAAAAATTGATATTACACATTAAGATATAAGACTGCGAAAACATGTCAAAAACAGTTACTTTTGATCTGAGCAACAGTCAAAATAGTCTCTTTTATTTTAATTTTATACAAATTATTAATTTTTCAAAAGAAATCTTCATAAAGGGTTCTACATCGATACCAAGACCTGATTTAATTAAAAAAAATTTTATCAATTTTAATGGAATTAATAAAATGTTTAATACATAAAATTACTTCTACTTATAAAGGAGCTCATACATTTTTTGTTTGTTCTTATCAATACAAAAGTATAGCAAAATTACTAAACTCGAAGGCAAATTAAAAAAATGAGAAGTCAATGGAAATGACAAAATCAAACGACATCAATCAACGGGAAATAACTGCCATATTCCTGACTTGGCACAGGCATTTTTCGAAGAAAATGGTGGATTAAACCTAGTTTTATAGCTAGCTAAACATCCCTATGACAGATCACAAGTATCTTCTGTAATATTTATTTAATGTAAGGATTGTTTGAAAGTATGCATGATAAAAGATCTGTTTATGATTGTTATGCACCCAATAAATGACGAAAGACAATCTATAAATGTTATGTTTATGTTTATAAATAATTACAGAATGGAAAAGGAGACCAAGAAGACAATACAAAATTTGCAGTTTACAAACTACTACAGAAGAAACAAAAGATTGAGCAAAACAAGCCCCCCCAAAAAAACGGTGGTGACATCAGATGTTCCGGAAGGGCCATACAGTCTTGCTGGTATGTCTGAGTATATTGAAATAGATTGATATAACATGACACGTTAAATGAAAAAAAAACATTGTGTAAATAGCATGTACAAGAACAAAACATAACATAAATCAGACTTAAACTCACTGGTAGGTGACATCCAGTTGTTCAGTGTATTAGCATGTTTTGTTGTGTTGTATTTCCATTATACACCATGCAAATAAACTCATTATAGATACAAGGATTTAGATTATGTACACCGAAAGCGCGTTTCGTCTACGAAAGACTCATCAGTGATAAATGAAGTACACTTATAAAATCCCTGGATGTCATGCACAACGTATGTATTCAAAATAGTATACTATCTGCATTGATAGGAATCTTGCTTATGTTTGTTTCTGTATTTCATTTATTCTCTACTGAGATCAGTAGGGTCGCGTTGATCACATCTACTAAATAAGTATTACACCAGATAAAGCATGACAATGGTGTTAGAATTTCTTTTATCTTTTTATCTGTAGTCAACTTAGAGTTGGTGTCTAGATATAGATTAAATAGAATATGGGTGTAGTGATACAGTCGATATTGTTTTGTTTGTGTACAGAATTAACTTTTGGAGATGTTTCTATTAAAGGCAAGTTATAAAAAAGACATGTATGTAACATGAGAATGCTGTTCTTAATTAATCATCTTAAGGTTTGAAGTGTTCAACGACCAATTATTTATCTTTGGTGTTATGTCATTAACACTTTGATTCCATACATGCAGATTTCAATAATGATATTGGTCTGGTGTTTCTTTGGACAATAATTTTTTTTCAAATTCAAAAGGCTAAAATCAACGTTAGTGCGTTGACACAACTGAATGGGAATATATATACATGTAGTTGAAAATGAGTTACATAAGGAAATGCCTGTTCCAGTTCAGGAATATGACAGTTGTTTTCCATTCGTTTAATGTGTTTGAGTTTTTGATTTTTCCAATTGATAAGGAACTTTTCGTTTTTAATTTTCCTTTGAGTTCGGTATTTTTGTTATTTTACATTTTAATGGTGCAAGACTTTTATAAAAGCGATTCGCTTTCACTTCAAATTGTTTTAATTTCTTTTTAACGTATAAATCTACTTGGCTGTGATAATTTTGGTGCCAAATAGCCGCCAGTATATACATCGAACCAATGAAAATGACTCAAAAACACGCTTATTGATTTTATTTGTAGAAGTGTTAAGATACCTTAAGTGCTAACTATGAAGCATTACTAGAAGAACAGTCAGGACTTTGTTCAATTTATTATAAGAAATCATTAACTTATTAAAGACTTGCTTTAAAATGTTTAAAAGCACAGAGAGTGAGACGGAAGATATCGAAGGGATATTCAAAGTCATAAGTCGAACACAAACTGACAATGCCATCGCAAAAACGAAAAACGACGAAAAGACAAATAACAGTTCACAAAACACAACGTAGAAAACTAAAGATTGAGCAACACGCACCCCATCAAAAACCGGGGGAGATTTCATGTGCTCCTGAAGGGTATGCAGGTCCTTCTCCGAATGCGACACCCGCCGTGTAACTTATATGAAAAACGTTGATGAGTTTTATCAAGAGATGAGGCATTACCAAATAGCGGATTGGTACAATGTACTCTTAACTAACCCTACGACATCATCAAATCAATAAACCATCGGTAAAGTAAATGTTCTAACCTTGAAACTTGACCAAATAGAAACATGTTCTTCATGACAAAGAATAAACAAGACTGTTATATTTATATATTTAATTACCGGTATAAACAACACAGACATTAAAAAATTAAAAATGCAGAAATAACAACACTTAAAACTAAAGAAAAAAATACATTTCACATCTGTGTTTGAAAAATATGCAATACGATCCCATCATAACAATTGTTTATTCAAATTTGTTTTCGAGTCTGTTACACAAATTTGATGAATCAAGTTCTTTCAAACTGATTTTTCAAATGTGTTCTTGTTTTATGCTGCTTTACCATTGTCATCGAGTAGAGAATGGTTGAGGGTTTATACTTAGTTGAACACCACAACATTCTTTATGACTGTCTAAATCAAGATACATGTAGTTGTAATTCAGTGATTGACTTTGGTTGCTGTCTTCAATATTTGTTTATCGTGTATTGTTTTAGTATAGTTTAGGCCGTGTTTTTTTTTCGCTTATAAATTGTGATTGTATAAAATCTTTTATGAATTAACTCCTATCGTAAAATACTCTATAAAAAGCATTGGGATTTTCGAAGGACGTACGGTCTCCTGTAATTTTTTATATCCTTATCTAATAATTTGTAAATATTTGGAAATTATACCACTATCCTAATGTAAATAACGTATATTCTACGCTGAATATTTTTAAAACAAACCTGGCATCGCATGCTATGTATCACACACTCGATGTCGCATGCCGACAGTTGCTTTCCAGTCGCGCTGTTTGATAATATAGTCAAGCGTTTGCTTTTGTCTGGATTTATGGACTTTCCACTTTTTAAATTTACCTTGGAATTTTTTTATTTTTGTTAATACATTTTAAACCATGTGTTACGCATCCTTCATTACATACCTATTTGTAATTACTCTACATTTAACACGTTTAAATACATACTTACATGCAATGATCTCTATATTCACCTGATAGTTTGAGTATATGTCATGCAACAGTTATAGTTGTGATTCCATTCCGTTTTATTGGAACTCTTTTTTAAATGAAAATGCATTTAACTAAGTATATACAGACATTTTTCTCTCTTTTGGAAAATCATTATTTTTAGTCTGTCTCATCTTAGCGAATCTGTGAGTTGAATACGAAGCAAAATTGAATATTTCTTTCAAAATAAAAATCCCGTTTTTACAACGATACATTAAATAATAGTAAAATATATCAACAATTTTTCATCATTCTTCTTTCTTTTTAGGTATTACATTTTTCATCTATTTACCTATGATTTTAGGTGCGGGATATCATGATAATTCTGCAACATTGGTAACAGCTATTTATGACATTGGCAGAGGCAACTGGCTGAATTGGAAAAGATCTTTTGTTACATATATTCAGAACTTTTCGCATATCTTGAAGTTGAATACAAAACTTGTTGTTTTTTGTGAAAAATCAACAGAAAAATACTTGAGAAAACAATATGGACACCTGGAACATTCAAAAGTTGTTTTCATTGTAAAACGATTTTCTAAAATTGAATTCGAAAGATATCGACAAATTTTATACAATATTATAGAAACAGATGATTTTAAAGAAAATAATACCATGCTACAACATCCAGAAGGATTTTCGGTAGAATATATCATTCTTATGAATAATAAGCTGTCCTTCTTAAAGGAGGCCATTAAAGCTGATATATTCAAAAGCTCCCATTTCTTTTGGATAGATAGTGGTTATGGTCATGGTGATGAAAACATATTCCAAAACCTTAAAAAGTGGACGCCATCAAAACTTCTTTCATTGAGCAAAACAGTAACGTTCATACAACTGCACGATACTGAAATGTATAAAGAGTATGGACTTAAATTACACAAGGAAAGCATCGATCCAGCTTTTTCCGGAGGATTTTTTGGTGGACATAGATCAGCTTTATTAGAATTGTACCATCTTTACAACAAAATGTTCCGATCATTGTTACTTGAAAATGTTGTAGATGATGATCAAAATATTCTTTTATTTTGTTATTTTGAAATACCCCGGCTATTCAATTTGGTAAAGGGTGATTGGTTTGACGCATTCAAACTATTTGGATAAATAAAAATCATATTTAATAAATTGTGTGCTCCCGAATCGCTTTTCTGAATTTACATGCACTAGGAATATGAGGAAAGCTTTAATTCAAAATTTTATAAGCTACGGGTGTATTAATACCTGTAAACGTAAGAAGCTATATGATTAATTTGTATCTGAAAATAATAGCCAAAGTATCCAATAACAACATTTCTTACATTTCTTAAACTAAAAGTCATGTATTCTTGGTATATGGCACAGGCATTATCTGTTTTACATCTTTCCCTATGACACGCTTTCACATTATTTTGTTATTTTGAAAATTTTCTGTTAATAGCACATTTGTTAGGACTACTTAGTTTAGACTCGGACTTTAGCATATTATACATGTTATATAAGTCTACTTTTGAAAACTGTTCCTAAAATTCTTGTTGTCCAATTGATTTTTGTTGGTGTGTTGCTGCTTCTTCGACGTTTACCCGTGTTTCCATTCATTCTTATCAATTATGTAATATAGTCCTCTCGATAATGAAAAGGCGAAATGATTATAGATAGGTTTGTTCGGTTCAAAGAGATCTAATCGTTCGTATAACGATAACTTTAAAACGACTTAGTCTACAAACTTTTATAGGAAGGTAATTCGATAATTCGTAATTAAAAAACTTCAGCTTACCTATACAATTGTGTATAGGTTTGAATGGCAATTTACGAATATTTGTTTTTTATATAATTTTAAGAAAAATCATGAAAATAGCTGCATGTTTGATAATGCGTCGTTATCAATGCTAGCTAAAAGCAAGAGTCTTCCTAACATGTCACTGTTACCGACAAATACAGTTTCAAGTGTTTTCTAGGCGTGTTGTCCTTTGTTTGATTATCTGTACTCCTGTCTAATATTTGTTTATTTGTATCACCTGGCTTAATTTCCTTTACCTTTCTATGTCTCGTTTTGAGAGAAAAATTAGTATTGGCATTCGACAGCAAATGGCTTATCATTGTGACATTATGTATATTATAACTTTTCTATATCTATTTTATATACAAATGAATCTGCAACAAAATGTATTTTTGTCTAAATTGAAATTGAAAAATTATATGCATTGTTTGTGATTATTTAGCTTATGAAAATCGAAATTAGAAGAGAGGCAGTAAACGAAACACAACTTAAAAATACTAAAGACTGAGAAACACGAACCCCACCAAAAACCAGGTGTGATCTCAGATGCTCCGGATGGTAAGCAGATCTTGCTTTAAATCATCAAAGACGCCAGGTTTATAATAATGTATGTCACACGCGCGTTTCATCTACATCAGACAAATCAGTGACGGTCAAATACGAAGTAGAGAAAATTCCAAAACAGTGTGCCAGATTAAGATGATGCAATCAATACATGGAGGTAGAAACGCACATCAAAATTGTAAACACAGGATTTGTTCACGCATAACATACAAGAAAAAAGCTGTGTTAAATTTGAATATTGTGATAACACTACTTAAGAGATGAATTTTTCTCCATGTTTCAAGAAATATATCAACAAGACATTTCTCCTTTATAAGATATCCATATATTTAAACTTGGTAGCATTTGTTTTTATCTATTTCATTCCATCGTTTGCATGATTTTACAGTAACGATACTGTATTCCGGTAACAAAGCATCGATGCGAAAATTACATGGCAACGGTCAACAAGAAAAGTCATAAACAAACAACTGAGTGATGAAAAACTCAAAATTGCGACATATGTATTGTTCGTTTCTTATTAACTGGAAGTCATGTACATAATAAAATCTAAAAACGACCGGTTCATGGAATTGATTTAATTAAAGAAATACCAAAGAGGGCAATGATATATGCATAACATAATTCAATAATAACAACAAAGGAATATCAGATGAACGAGGGCTAGACTTAAAATAATTAAAGAATCCAAATCACTGTGAGTGTAACGAGTACTCCATACTCAAATGTTGATTGGTGTATTGTGTATGCATGGACAAATTTTATTGACTTTTATGCAATGTAATAACTTTAATAATAGGAATTGGGTCATCTTTTGCATCAATATGATATTCCGGTCAGTACCAATCGCAGAAAACTTGGTTTGTTAAACACTCGGAGAAAAATCGTCTACCAACAGTTCTTCAACGGAAACCATAACTAAACTACACCAAAAGAAGAATAGATAAATGTCACCGACTTTCGTGGTGACTCTTAAACATTCTAAGCTCAATAGAATTTATAAACTTTCCAATGTTAACCCTCTGAACTTTAAAGTTTGTGAATAATTTTTCCATATAGTATTACATAATTTAAAGAAGTCATTTGAAAATGAAGGCTGAATACATCGACATAATTTATGTCTTTTACTGCGAACCCACTATGCAAATGCAGTCTCTGTTAAAAATGTAAAATAAAAACGTAGACACAATCTGTAAATTTACAGATCATACAACTTCTCCGATGTAATAGAATCGTAGACAGCAATCTTAGAATTTAAAACAAACTAACAATTTCCAGTCACGATCTGGTATTCATATGGTCTTATTGCAAGATTTAATTTCCTCTTTCCAAATATAAATAACTCTTTGTTTCAAAAATGATTTCTGGACAATACATATCTAAAGCGTGCACAAAAACGTTTTGATTGGCTATCAACGTCTTTTACAAAAAAAAACAACTTCATCAAACTGCACTACGTTATTTATATTTTTGGATACAAAATAAAGTGTCCTTTAGATAATGAAATGGTGAATTCCACGATTGTTTCTATATAAAAGGGCTGTTATCGGTACTTGAGGGCATTCGATACAGTTTTGAACCCACGGTGATGTTTTTACGAAAATTTGTATATTAGCTATTTTTCATGTAGTAAAATTCAAGTATTTTCTAAAAAACATACCTTCATATGCTACTTTTAGAGATAAATGGAGTCGACATTTTAGAAATTTACTCAAAATTTCGGTTTATTGGACATTTCTATTCTTTAGACAGACATACCTTACTTTTTTGGTTTCAAAGGATAAACATATGCAGATTTTTATAAAAACAAAAAGAGTATCTTCTTTGCACAAATATGTCCTAAATTTCTTTAATGATTAGTTGGAAATATTTTATTTTTATCAAATTGTCATGATTTTTGAAAAAAAAACTGTATTTTTTGCAATACATTTCTCCAATTTTTAAAAAATCCACCGGGGATTTTTTTTGTAAAAATTGGTCATACATATTCAAGCCAAATGTTATGTTAAAAAGGAGGGGTGCATGTACTTGTTTTCCAGCTAATGATTTAAATCAGTCGAAAAATGCATCTTTTCCCAATTCGCCACAGTTTGACGTCGCGAATAATAACCTTCTACGTTAGCAACGTCATAACCACCCCTGTAACTTTATAATATGCCTTTAATATATCACTAGGATTCTATTTCAATATCATATACTTAAGTTTATTTAGAATTTATTTTGTATGAAGTTATCTAAGGTACCAGGATTATAATTTAATACGCCAGACGCGCGTTTCGTCTACATAAGACTCATCAGTGACGCTCAGTTCAAAATAGTTATAAAGCCAAACAAGTACAAAGTTGAAGACCATTGAGGACCCAAAATTCCAAAAAGTTGGGCCAAATACGGCTAAGGTAATCTATTCCTGGGATAAGAAAATCCTTAGTTTTTCGAAAAAGTCAGTAATATACAAATCCTTAGATCGAGTTATGCCAGTTTGCCATTCATTTAATTCTGCATTTTAAAACTTACAAAAAAAAAAGAACCTGAAAATCTATCGATGAATTGACATTTAGATCCAGTGAAATATTACAATTACAAATTATAAAGATAAGCAGTTTGAAAAACACAAAGAGGCGTTTCAATATGTAATTTCAGAAAAATAAATAATTAAAGATTCTTATCATGTTGATATATTATTAAGTACAATTCAAAAACCTATAATTACACCCTGAATTTATTTCTAATATTAAACTTTAATGATTTTATAGCAATGCATTTATTTAATACAATTCATGTCATTGGTTAACCAAAACATATTGAAATATTTGAATTATTTCGAATTTTATTCGGTACAAGAACAATGTATTAATAAATTTATATGTATACACTACGCAAAGTTAATTATATAACAGGATTTAAACATGAAATCATTATGTCCATCTATTAATATTTCACTTTAATATTTACTCACTACAACACATCTGACATTATCGTTTTATCATAAAATAAGGATTGGTTTTTGTAAATATAATTACTAAAAACAAGCTATTAAAATTATTATGAACTATATGCGTCTATCCATTGATGCCTAATGGATGCAAATACAATAGATATATTGTACAATTTGTAAAGTAGGAAACTGGCCTTAAATAACTAAAACAATTACGGATCCATATTTGAAATACAACCAAATGTTTTGATTAAACTTACAATAAAAAAATATTTGATTCGCGCATACTTGATAAGTTCATTCTGACATAAAGATTTGAAAAAATAATTACCCACTGGAAAATAAAAAAAAATCATAAGTTGAAGAACAACAGAAGATACTATGACAAAAAGGTAACACAACAAATAAACAAAACAACAGTCTGCAAAACTTTGAACACAAAATCAAAATCTGAGCTATAAAATCGTTACCAAAATCCAGGGATGGTATCAGCTGCTCCAGACTTGGAAGCAGATCCTAGTCCACTAGTCGCACCCGCTATTTGGCACTCTGCTTGTCAAAATTCGTTTCATTCCGCAATGAATGAATCGACAAAATGCATATGGAATCGTGGCTTCTATAGTGTTAAACTATCCGTGCTCATAATCATATGTAATACTGATATTCCATAACAGTCAATCACATCTTGATGGCGTATATCAAACAATCGAAGGGATGAACTCTGCTTACACCGTTAGGAAACCTTGGTTCGATTGTTCCATAGTAAGCAGCAACTCTTTATTAAGGCAATCAGGATTGGAAACGCAAGCTCTGAATTATCGTCTCAACAGGGAAATACATCCTCCATATACGGGTGTTGCTGGAATGCTGCTTCATAGAAATTGAAAGTTTATAACTGGAAAGGTGAAATCATTTCTTTTGTTGTAACAGTTCATTCTCAACTGACCACCATTGTCAATTTCTAGATATGAAACAGATGGACTGAATATGTGATATCCGTTCATAACTGCGTTTAACTTAGTCACCAAACTTTGCAATATTTATCCAGAAGACATCATTTATAGAGCGAAACGTGAATATAACGGTTTTCTTTCGTACTTCATGAGAAGCTCTAGCTCCTCTATGAAATCTGCTTCATGTGAACAAAAGAATATCAAGTTGGCAAAAACGAGTAGCACACTAGTTTTACATAAGATCGCCTTTTGTCTATTAGAAACACATCATATATAGGTAACACAAATGGCATAAAAAAAAAACAGTTAAATATATTGAGGAAGTCAATTTAAGTGAACATTTGTTTGAACACAGGACTTCTTTGCAGATAAGATAAGATAAGATACGATAAGATAATTCATTATATTAAAGTGTCACTATCCATTTCAATATTTGCATATAATTATACACAAAGTCACAAGAATCTAACAATAAGTAAAAGGATGCCATTAAAAGCAGACATCTAATACATACATAAGAAGACAATATTTTCACATGTAAAAAGTATTTTGCAATACCCGTACTTGCCTCAATTATATATATATATGTGTGTGTGTGTGTGTGTGTGTGTGTGATGTTTATATTATACACTTTAAGCGGCTCAAGTCATGCCTTAGGAAACTCTCGATACAGTAAAATTGCTTTTATAAAAACTACTTTGATCATTGTTACAAATAAGAGTTATATTATTACTACTTGAGGTTCATGTTTGCCATCATGAGTTTAGCGACCGATCGTGACTGATTTTAATTGAAATTATCACAAATAATTCATGACAAATATCTCTAGATACTTTCCAATCGTCTATAAGATTTCATTTATTGCTGGCTTTAACTTTCATCAAGCTTTGACATCGCTAGGGGCGAATGCATAGAAAATAAACAGAAATAAATTGTAAAGCAGAAAGTGTCTAGACAAATCGATTA